GGTCTGACCAAGCTGGTCCTAGGCTTCCTCCAAGTATCTATTCCCTGGTGTTAACGCTCAAGATAACATTTGCACATTTCTCTCCAGCTAATCTCCTCCCACTCCCAATACTCTAACTGCCCATTCTTCTCTAGCTTCAGGAATCAAACTTCTAAGTAGACAGTTATCATTAAAACAAAACAAAAACAAACAGAAACTTGATGGTTTCCAATTACCTTCCACAGATCCTCACCCAAAATCCACTGAGGGTGAGCATTTGTGAATTCTCTTAAACCCAAAGTGACTGTACTTTTCCCCATGGCAACCCTCCTCCCCCACACTTAAATTATGGTTTGTGTGCTACTTATTGATCCCCAGAGCTCTGAATTATATATGAGCACACTTACAAGAATACTTCAAATATGTATGGCCCTTTATGCTTTCCCAAGTACCTTTGCACATATCATTTAATCTCTCACCAGCACCCCAGAGAAGTAGATGTGAAGATTGTTGTTGTGCTCATTTTATGAATAAGAAAAATAAGACAGCTCAAGGAGGTTGAATAACTTGCCGAAGTCACATAGCCAGACCCACAAACATACGGATGATTTTTATCTGATGCTCTTGTCATACACTAGTGTGCTTTCCTGACTGATACAGGATATGTCTATTTATAACAGTATCTAACTAAAAATACTTAAAGCAGACTAGATGTTCTATTAGTCTTTTAACCACATTAACAGTTTATTTAAAAATCACATAATTTGAGCCCAGCCTGTGTGGTTCAGTGGTCATCCCATGGACTGAGAAGTCCTGGTTTGTGGGCTCCATCCCCAGTGGGGAGCATGCAGGAGGCAGTCCACTGATGTTTCTCTCACACTGATGTTTCTATCTCTCTCTCCCTTCTTCTCTAAAAAAAAAAATCAATAAAGCCATATTTATTTTTTGCTATTTTTTTTTTAAATCCTCACCTGAGGATATTTTTACGTTTATTTTCAGACAGAGTGGAAGGAAGAGAGAAAGAGAGAGAGAAAAACATCGATGTGAAAGAGACACATCGATTGGTTGCCACCTGCACGATCCCAGCCAGGGCCAGGGACTAACTGCAACCGAGGTACGTGCCCTTGTCGGGAATCAAACTCGGGACTCTTTGGTCCCCAGGCTGATGCTCTAACCGCAGAGCAAAACCAGCCAGGGCAATAAAAAAATATTTTTTAAAAATCACATAATGTGAAGTTTTACTGCCCTTCTATCCCTTTCATCTTTAACTAATAAGGCCTTGAGGTATTCCTTTAAAATATCTCTAAGAGTCCAAAACTGATTAATGATCTTAACTCGCAAACCATCACAGGCATCACAATGGAGGCTGGTAAGAAGTATTACTGTCCTTTTCTTCCAAAGTTCAAAAGGCCAGTGATTACTGAGAGCCCAAACCACAACAAAGCCACAAAACAGGAACAGACACTAGAGGTATCACCTCTTGATCCTATCTTCAAAATTACCTCCCCTGCAGTATAAACACAAGAAAATAGGAGTGAAACTCATCTCCTGAGTGATGAGATAGTAGACAGACTGAACTAGTGCATCTACGTGTTTGAAACTGGATGTTCCTGCTGACACATTTAAATATCCCTGTGACAAGCTCCAACGAGCTCGTCTGGTCATCAAACTTGCAAACTGCCACAGTGAACGCAAAATGAGCTGCCATAGCTCAAATCCAACCTACTAAATATGTTTGGCAAATTTTTTATTCACAGTGTATTTCTCAGATAAGTCTTAAGTGTTTTATTGAACATTAAAGCTATTAAACTCCTTAGTCACTACCATCGAGGTCAAGTCTGCACAAAAGGTTTTGAAATTATTATAAAGCTACAAATATATGGAACTGTGCTGATAGCTTTAAGACAAAAGCAGTGATCACTGGTTCCAAATGTGATAACCTTAAATGTTCTTAAAACATTATGGGACATTTGACAGGATTAATAGACAAATAAAAGATTTGTCAAAGAAAATCTCATGAGGAGATGACCAAGAAGGGATTGTACTAACACCCTGTTCATCTGTATGACACATTTTGTGTTCATGAACGAGGTTAGGCAAACTCAAAGACTTAAATATCATCTACTGTTTCAAGAAACACCAAACTGATGGAATAAATAAATAAATAAAATACTTCAGTCATGAAATGTCTAAATGACATAGTACCAAGATAATATTTTCCAGTACTAAAGTGTCCATTTCAAAGGATCAAAAATAATATAAATAATGAAAATAAGAAGAGTTATGGAGAACTGCACTATGAATATGTGGTAAGCATATGATATTCAGGTTAGAGGTCTGTGTCTGAAAATAAGGACACGTGTCAACAGTGTATGAGGGTATGTGTATTTTTCTGAAAGAGGTATCCACAGCTTAAATAAGATTTTTATAGGGTCCTTAGAGCCTCCAAAATTAAGATCCACTGTTCAAAAAACAGGCCATTGAATTGTATAAGTACATAAGTAGATCTTGGATAATCTGAAATTAAGAGAATTATTTCACTTTTCTAAATTACTCATAAAAGTATTTTAGAAAAATGGAAACTAGATCTATCATAATTAAAGAAAACATCAGCCATAGAATAAACACTGGTGGAAAAGTATTTCAGGAATCTTATTGCTATGAAAGACTTTAAAAGTATCTAAGAAAGAAAATTTAGCTATTCTGAAAGACTTAATTTCCTTGGATTAAGCAGAAGGCAGAGATGGTTACATCAGTATGTCAGGATTTATCTGAACAGATTCATATCCTATTGCCTTCTGTTTTCGTTTTTATTAAGACATAAAAGCACCAGGATGTAGTATTTTGGAAATAAATTGATATATTTTTGGTTCGTGCAATAAATAGAGGCTACTCTGGGGGTTGAGATGCTGGATGTCCAGGACTGAAATGCACATGTCAGGACAACAAAAACTGTCCCCTGTTCTGCATGTCTTATATTTCCTGTTGGACATTTAAGTAAATAAAAAATCTACAATTAAGTAAGCGTAGGAACTAACTCCACTGCACATATTTTTGCAAAGCCCTTTTTATATACTTTTTGTTGTTGTTAATCCTCATTCAAGGATATTTTTCCACTGATTTATTTTAGATAGAGTGGGAGGGAGGGAGAGAGGAACATTGATGTGACAGAGACACATGGATTGGTTGCCTCCTGCACAGCCCCAACTGGGGTTGGGGATTAAACCTGCAATCCAGGTACATGCCCTTGACCAGGAATCAAACCCGCAACCCCTCGGTCCATGGACCACACTCTAACCACGTAGCCAAACTGGCCAGGGCTTATACACTTTTAATTTCCAAGTCACTAATTACTGGGATAAACTGTGTAAATTAAAATAAGATTATTTTTTCATTTGGAAGTTTCCTAAGAGGTGTTCACCATTTGGCGAAATCATGTCAGCATTGGTGCTATGGACTGAATGTTTGTGTTCCTTCCCCAAGTCGATATGTTGAAACCTAACCCTCAATGTGCTGGTAGTAGGTGGGGATTTTGGGAGGTGAGTAGGTCATGAAGGTGGAGCCCTTGCTAACAGGAGTAGTGTCTTTATAAAAGAGGCCCCACAGAGATCCCTCACCCTTTTGACCATGTGAGGACACAGCAAGAAGGCACCATCTCTGAACCAGAAAGCAGGTCCTCACCAGACACCCTGATCTTAGACTTGCAGCCTCCAGAACTGTGAGAAATTTGTTTATAAGCTACCTGGTCTATGGTGTTATAGCAACGTGAACTCAGACAATGGCAATACCATTCTTGGACTCGAGCTGACAACACAAACCATTTATGTCAGTCTGCAGTTTTTGGGGCTGGTTTCAGGGTTTTTCACATAGAGTGCAAATCCATGAATACTTCATTATGTCTTAGCGCATAGCCATGCCAAGGCATTACCGTTTTAAAAATCTTTCTTTTAATGAGGACATTACATAAATTATAAAAATTATATGTAAAGAGAAAGGCTGTTAGGGAAAAACTAGTAAAATCCAAATAAAGTGTGGAGTTTATGTAGCAAGGTAAGATGTTAACAGGAGGAAACTCAGAGTAAGGGGCACTTGGGCAGTTTTTGTACTATCTTTGCAATTTTTCTGTAGATCAAAAATTATTCTAATAAAAAGATTATTTTTTATAGTTTACCTTTAAAGATATATGGAGATTTCAAATATGGAAAACTATCCCTCCATTTCTGTTAACATCGGTTTTTTAAATTTTATTTTATGAGTTCATTTGAGCCAAACTGACAATGTGTGCTGGGGAGCAAGATCTCAAATGCTCCATCAGTGTTTTTAAACTGTTAGATTGAACTACTAAACTAAATGTTTTCGTATGTCAATAACAATTAAACATTAGCAAGTACATATGGTTTATCCTAGAATAGTTAGGGCCTACTTTATTGAACTGCATTATAAAATTGAGACTAAATGTACTTTTCATTTTCAGAAATAAACAAAAATCAGTTGCAATCCATTAAACACACACACACATTCCCTCTCCGGCAAATTCTCCCCATAGTTATACTATATGACCTATGATTTTAAATTTGAGGCTAGAAAAGAAAGCTATTACAAAATATTTATTATTAAAAAAAGGAGTAAAGAGTCTGAAATAGTTAAAAACTATTTAACTACACAAAACATTAATAAGCAGAAGAAACAAAGTACAGCAGTTGTTTATCTGTGAAGCTTATTCCTATAGAAAAGAAAAGATTATAAGCAGAGTATTTGTAACCCTTCCTTAATGACAGTCACCTTTCTTTTTCCATAGGGTGGTATTCAGTGAAGTACTTTCCTTAGTAAATTCACCTCCAAGTAAAAATATGCTGTGAAACAGAACCCAATCAGAAAAAAATTTGTGTTTTTGCAGAAGGCCTGTGAAATTCTTGAACATATTCAGCTTCTGAAAAAACCTATTAAGTGAAGAAACCTGAATGCAGTGAGAAAAAAAATCTGGAAAAGCATTTGGCCAGTTTACCATCCAAATCACTCACCTGTGCACAAATCTGATGCATGACATGACCAAATTCATGGAAGTAAGTCCTCACCTCATCGTGCCTCAGGAGAGAGGGACGACCTGCTAGGGGCTGTGAGAAGTTCACCACGAGGGCTGCCACCGACATCATGCGGCTCCCGTCAGGGAGGAGGCAGCCAGGCTGGAGGCCAAAGCAGGCTGCGTGGTTGTACTTCCCTTCCCTAGGAACCAGAAGCGCGGTCTATGAGACACGGACACCCTTCTCTCGCAACAACATTGCCCTGGCCTCTCTCAGTCATTACGTCGTATTCCATACACATTTGATAGAAGATACTTCACTTCAAAACATTTCATTCACCTTTTAGAAAGTAGGTCAATGTTATGTTAAAATGGAAAAACTAAAACTGAACATATAGAAACCCAACTAATCACGTCACATGAGTTAGTTACATCTCCAAGATATCTTTTGTTGAAAAATCTTAACATCAGAATTAGGAATGTGTACCACATCTTGTGTACAGCTGCAGGTCCAACTTATTTTATTGAATTTATTGGGATGACATTGGTTAGTAAAATAATATAAGTTTGAGGTGTACAATTCTATTTAACATCATCTGCATACTGTGTTATGTGTTCACCTCCCCACTGCATGTCCAACTTATTTTAATGAACTCCTGCTTTTTTCTTCAAAGATGGAGTCACAGTTTATTAACCAATGTCACCACAATAAATTCAACATAAATTAAAAAAAAGAGGGGGTCATTAAACATTAAATAGTGTTGAAGAAATCTGAGATGAAAGATAGTTTTCCCTTATAAACAGAATTGATAAAAACCAAATTCCATACAATAAGTTTGTTCTTTTTATTGAAGGAGGGAATAATCAGTGTTCACAATTAAATGAGCTCCTTTCATACCATAAAGTTGTCTATTCTTAGACAATGTGGTATCAGTGAGGGTCTCTCCAAAAGCTAAGAGCCATTAGACTTTATTCTTGGACTAGGTTTCCTTCTTCTTTTTTGCTAGGAGACTAACAGGAGTTCAGGTTTGGGGTAAATTTTTTAGTTTGATTTGTATGTAGTTTTCTGTATTATCTTTTCTAGGTGACTCATTACTCTAGGATGTTTCCTGCTGATGCTACTGAAGTTTAAAACAACAACATAAAAACACAGTCTTTTTCCAGCTACCTATTATGATGCATTAAGCTGGAAAGGGCATTCATTGCTCCTCTTCTTATAATAACATGCTGGACAATCTGCACATCATCCTCTTTCTTAAACCTTTCGGAAAGCAGCGAATGAATGACAATCAAATAACTTACAGTCTAAGACAGGTGCCTCCAAGGAGAGAGATGAGGGAAGAAGCAAGCACTTTTTTGTTTTTGTTTTAAAACTAGAGCGCATACTACAGATACCAATAAGAAAAAAATTTAGCAAATTGCTGAAGGCTGATGGTGGACCAGCAAAAATCGGCAACCAACAGGAGCTATAGATAAGCGAAAGTATGCATCCTACCACAGGGTCTTCCCCATGGACCTCACTGGGTGCACACACAGAGACTGGGGCAGGGTGGGAGCCCTGAGGAAGCATCAGTTCTGATGAAGGTCTGGGGGAAGGGGGCAGCTGCTGTTGTAAAGGCATGAGGCATAAAGCACTGCCTAGATCCTTTTTACCTCTTCCCTACAAAATAAAAGCCTTAAACATCCGGGGGAAGGACAACAAACCTGTTGCCCTGAGAGCATGGGTGAAATCCCACTGCCACTGAGGGAAGGAAACAAACAGAAAAAAACCCTCTACACCTGAAGACAGAGCTCAAATACATTGTGGCTGAGGGTGAGGCAGGAACACTGACTAGGCCACACTCCTCAGACCCAGGGACACAGAGCTTACCTAAGAGTGATGCTTAATCAGAATAACAGAGAATTCCATCTTCCTAACTAGGCTCATGAGCATCCAGTAACAAACAATGGCAGTCAACTACTGGCAGAGGAGCGAGAGCATGTGAAGAGCTCTGAAGCACAGAACAAAGGAAAGACCTAAAATTGAGGGTGGAGAAGGCACGGAGGAAAACTCAGGCAAACCAGTCCCAGTCCTAAATACGATAGTAATCTGGAGTTTTTGGTGCATTGAGGTCAACCATAGCAACAACAAACCTTAAACCCAAATCAACTACCAAACAGATGGAATCAAACACATATTAAAGGCCTACCAGCCCTGGCCGGTTTGGCTCAGCGGTTAGAGCGTCGGCATGCGGTCCTGAGAGACCTGGGTTCAGTTCCCGCTAAGGGCATGTACCTCGGTTGCAGTTTGTCCCCGGCCCTGGTCAGTTGTGCGGGTGGCAGCCACTCGATGCGTTCCTTTCACATTGATGTTTCTCTCTCTCTCTCTCTGTTCCTCTCTCTCCCTCCCACTCTACCTGAACAAAAAATGGAAAAATGTCCTCGGGTGAGGATAAAAAAAAAAAAAAAAGGCCTACCAGAAGTAATTAGGTGCCCATTTCCTATTTACTTGTCTTTACTGTCCTATATAAGAAGTCTGGTGTTAAAAAAAAAAGTTGTGAGGCATACAAAGATGCAATGTGGGAAAAAACACTGTCAAGAGGCAAAGAAAACAGATATGGCAATGATGTTGGAGCTATTAGAGTATTTAAAATCATTTAAAGTTAACAGTTTTGGAAGATGATTCCTCTCACCACTCCTTTTCAAAATCATATGAAGTCCTAACTAATAAGACAAGAAACGGTATTAAGAAGGTATACAGATTGGGATCGGCTGGTGTGGCTCACTGGTTGAGTGTCGACCCATGCACCAAGAGGTTGCCAGCTCGATTCTCAGGGCACATGCCCAGGTTGTGAACCCAATCCCCAGTGGGGGCCATGCAGGAGGTGGCCAATCAACATTCTCTCTCATAGAAGCTTCTATCTCTCTCTCCCTCTCTCTCTAAAACTGATAAAGAAAAATATATTTAAAAAATAAATAAAAAGGTATACAAATTGGGAAGGAGGAAATAAAATTGTCTTTGTTTGCAGATGACAGATCCAAAAGAATCAACAACAACAAAAATAACTCCTGGAACTAATAAGTGATTATAGCAAGGTTGCAGGACACAAGTTAATATACAAAAGTGAATGACTTTCCTATATACTAACAATGTACAAGATGTCCTTCAGTACATGACTGAATAAACAAACTGTGGTATATCCAGAAAATGGAATATTATTCAGCACCAAAAAGAAATGAGTTTATCGAGCCATGAAAAGACATGGAGAAAACTTACATACTTATTACTAAGTGAAAGAAGCCCACCTGTAAAGGCTACATACTATATGATAAGACACCCCATAAAAGGTAAAACTATGAACAAAGTAAAAAGATCAGTAGTTGCCAGGGATTAGGGAGAGAAGAACAGGTAAGTGGAACACAAAGAATTTTTACAGCAGTGAAACTACTCTGAATAATACTATAATGGTGGGTATATGTCATTATAATTTGTTCAAAACCACACAATGTACAACATCAAGAGTGAACCCTAATGAAATCTATGATCTTTGGGCAATAATGATGTGTCAATGTAGGTTCATCAATTGTAACAAATGTACTTCTTTGGTAAGGGATGTTGATAACAGGGGTAGCTATACATGTGTAGGTCCAGCAGGTATATGGGAAATCTCCATACCTTATGCTAAATTTTGCTGTGAACCTAAAACTACTCTAAGAAATAAAGTCTATTTAGAATGAGTAAGTAAGTAAGTAAAGATTGAATGAATGAATCAGAACTGTGCCAGGCCTGAGCTGGGAGTGAGCAGGGATGGGAAAGGGAAGGCAGACAGGGGAGGGGCAGGCAGAGGAGAAGACATGTATACAAGACACTGTGTACTCAATCCAATACAGTTTTTAGCCAGCCAGGCTCTGGTTGTTCAATGGGTCCTTCAGAGTTTCTGGAATGATTTCATGTAAAAGTTGGAAACCTGTAAATAGGTAAAAAGTTCTACAAATCTTATTTTTAACAGGGGAAAACTAAAGTAATCTGGGAAATGTTTATCCTGTTATATTTTATACCTCTTGGTATATTATGAAAGGCAATAAAAGTATTTTTTTTTTATCCTCACCCGAGGACATTTTTTTTTTTCATTTTTTGTTCAGATACAGTGGGAGGGGGAGAGTGGAAGAGAGAAACATTGATGTGAAAGGGACACATCGAGTGGCTGTCACCCGTATGACTCAACCAGGACCGGGGACAAACTGCAACCGAGGCATGCACCCCCAGCGGGAACCAAACCCGGGTCTCTCTGGACCGCAGACCAACGCTCTAACCGCTGAGCCAAACCGGTCAGGGCAATAAAAGTATTCGTGATTTGAGAGTAATATGGATGCTACAGTGTTGGCGAAACAAGAGTTGAGTTTTCTTATAAATATCAATGTTTCTCTCCCTCTAAAAATCAATAAAAATTAAAAAAATCTAAGAATAGCTTAAAATCTAAGACTTTGTGCCAATTTTAAAATCAGTGAATGGAGGGGTTTATACCTTTCCTTTCAAAAATAATGTTGATTTATTTAATTTCAAAGGATTCCTTATTCTGAGATAATGCCTTTTTACATTTTGTTTATAAAATGATGGTGATTTTAAAAAATAACCTTAGCTGGCAATATTATGCTGGGACCATCAAAGTATTTTTATTTTTGTTTTGTTGGAAAAATCAGTATATGATAAATGAAAACTAAAATGTGATTTGAAAAAAACTGGTCTTTCCTAAACCTACCCCAAATATCCTTTTTTGAATTAATCAGACAAAGAAAAGAAGTTAATCCATCTCCTCTTAATGAAGTAAGCAGGTAAAAGCGACAGGAAGTGAATGTTACGTAGATCACTGATTACTACTCTCACAAAGATCACCCTCTGGTCCCCAGAGCAGAGTTCTGGTATCAAGGGCCAGATCTCAAAGAAACCAATCACATCTTGGCAGGGAGACAGCAGGGTGAGATGACAAGAACTGCCTCTGACCTGGGAAGGAGAACGTGAGGATAGTTATAGAAAGTTCCAACGTTCAAGGATTTCCCCTGAATGAATTCTTGGCTTAACACCAAGTGCTGGAGCGGGCCGGTGCGGCTCAGTTGGTTGAGTGTCATCCCATGCACCAAGGGGTCACTGGTTTGATTCCTGGTCAGGGCACATGCTCGGGTTGGGGGCTCAATCCACAGTGTGGGGCATGCAGGAGGTAGCTGATTAATGTTTCTCTTATCCATATTTTTATCTCTCTCTCCCTCTTCCTTCCTCTCACTCTAAAAAAATAAAAAAAAGCATATTTATAAAAATAAGCAAACAAAAAACGGTATGCTGGAGCATTTGAGATCTTGCTCCCCAGCATGTTGTCAATTTGGCTCAAATAAATTATTTATTTATTTTTAAATCCTCACCCGAGGATATTTTTCCATTGATTTTCAGATAGAGTGGGAGGAAGAGAGAGAGGGAGAGAGAGAGAAAGAGAAATATTGATGTGAGAGACACATCGATTGGCTGCTTCCCACATGGCCTTGACCAGGGCTGGGGACTAAACTGCAACCAAGGTACGTGCCCTTGACCAGAATTAAGACTGTGACTCTTTGGTCCGCAGGCTGACACTCTCACCACTGAGCCAAACCGGCCAGGGTGTAAAATAAATTCTTATAAAAAAAACAAACAAACAAAATTATATGCTGACACTTTTCAATTAAAAATAGACCCATCTATATTTGACATAGGTTTATTTTTAGTTGATCTCAGAAGTGAAAGTAAGTCCATAAAAGAGGGGGATAAGACACTGCTGCCCAGTTTCTGAATGACATAGTTTTCTAGCCTTCTTCTCAGCAGCTACCTGAAGTCACCCCAAATCTGTGATTATAGACTCATTGATACCAAACTAGGGGGATACTGTAATTTCCTCTGGCCTGTTTAGTAACACGGATTAGTAATTGTAACAGGCTGGCTTTGTCTTAGAAAGCAGCCCGAAGAGAAAGTGATCCAAATCCTTTCCTGTCTGATGGAACTTTGTGGAGTCCATAGCTACCATGTGATTCTGAGACAATAATATTTTTAATTCTTACCACTGATTGAACACCTAGTCTGGGTGATTTACATAAACAGTGTAATGCACAAAACAATCCTGTAACGAGATCGTCAGTCTATATTACAGAGGAGAAATCAGTCTTAAAGAGGTTATATCACTCAAACATTCCAACTCCTGTTGACTTACTTAAGATTTTGCTATTCCTACGACACTGTGCTGCCTCTCAGCCAGACTCAAGGAAGTGGCCATAGATTTAAGAGTATTGGCAGACAGATTACCTGAATAATAAATATTTTGGGCTCAATTTTAAATTAAGTAAATGCAGTACACAAACTAAATGATGATGATGATAATGATGATAGCTGCTAATATTTATTAAGCACTTGCTATGCGCTGGGTAGTCTGATTAATGCTTTGCATGTAATTAACCATTTTAACCTTACAACAACCCTACAAAGCAGGTAGGATTAGTATTCCCATTTTATAGGACCTGTAACATTGGTAACGAAACAGGCACAGAAACATTAAGAACCTGCCTAGTAAGTAATGGAGCCAGACTTCCCGGCTTCAGAGCCCACATTTTTAATCCCTTTACTAAGAACCACAGAAGAGATCTACGGAAGGCAAGAGTGTTAATCTGGGTAGGAGCTGAATCCCTAAGGTCCCTTCCAACAAAATGGCCCTTAGTACCTTGGATAGAGGTCCAAGTAGAACTGCCCCAATACTTCTCCTGTGGCCGTGTCCTTCACAGTGTAAAGTGTAACACTTTTATTCCACACATGAGCATCTGCCACTTGCTCAAATGAAAGTCTCAACAACTCCTGGTAGATGTTCAGCAAGCCTTCAGTGACCACTTCAATTGGGAAGTATTCCTTGAGAACCTCTTGGTCTATGGAGTACTTGAGTTCTTCTGTCTGAGTCATGTAGTAATGCAGATCCCAGGCATTGATCTTCCCATCATATTCAAAACCTCTCTCTTCACATTCCTTTTTCTTCAAATTCAAAATAAACTCTCGTTCTGCCTCACCCAAGGGTTTTAATTTCTGGCTTAAATCATCTGTGAGGAAAGAGGAAATAGTCAATGATCTATTGATTTTAGGAGCAAGCATACTCATACATACCGTGTTTCAGCATGGTGCTTTCCAAAGTACTGGAGACAGATAACTTGGGAGAAAAGGAGGGAGGAAGGGAGGGAGGGTTGGAGGGAGGGTGGGAGAGACAAAAGAGAGGGAGGGAAGAAGAGAAGGAGGGAGGAAGGGATGGAAGAAGGGAGGGTAGAGGGAAGGAGGGGGGAGGGTAGAGGGAAGGAAGGAGGTAGAGGGAGGGAAGGAAGGAGGGTAGAGGGAAGGAGGGAGGGTAGAGGGAAGGAGGGGGGAGGGTAGAGGGAAGGAAGGAGGGTAGAGGGAAGGAAGGAGGGAGGGTGGGCGACAGGAGAGGAAAGCAGGCGCTATTACGCCAGCACTGTTGTTCTCTCCAAGGTAATTTATGTTATGGCTCCTCATCACTTTTTCTTTTCCCACCACCCACACTAGGCCACGACTTCCTCATAGCATCAACAAAGCTGAAATTCATCTCAGAGAACTCTGACTCAAAAATGTTATAATTCAGGGAAAAAAGCAATAGTGAAACTAAACTCATCATGACTAGTGAAACTAGTCATATACATGACTATTCTCCAAGAAGATTGGGCTCCTCAGAAAGGCAGAGAAAATAAATCAAATGTGACCTGTGACCAGCAATACTAAAAATTGCTCAATGCCTTTGATGGCCATGGGTTCAGTTACCACTGCCCCATTCGTATGAAGAAGGTCTACTGGACACAGTAATTCCACTCTTTAGATGGATACCACAATTCATATACTGTGGTCAATTTTTGACTGTATTTGGCTAAATGAATAAGCTCTTATTATGTACTTATTCTTCACAACTTGCTATGTATGCAAGATAAACAGGGGTCTGGCTCTCTAAGGGTCATGCAGTCATGGAGCAGCCCCACAGTGGGGGCGAAGGTAAGAGCCTGAGGAGGGCTGTGAGGACAAAGAAGGAAACTCACAGAAGATAAAAGTTCTGAGTGAGCCTGTCAGAGAATATGAGAATACAGGTCGCAAGAGGACACCTTGGATGGGATAAGCCAATTTCAAATGAGAAACGACTTTATTTGTTTTTGTTTTTTTTTTAATCCTCACTCGAGGACATTTTTCCATTTTTTGTTCAGGTAGAGTGGGAGGGAGAGAGAGGAACAGAGAGAGAGAGAGAGAGAAACATCAGTGCGAAAGAAACACATCGAGTGGCTGCCACCCGCACAACCAACCAGGGCCGGGGACAAACTGCAACTGAGGTACGCGCCCTTAGCGGGAACTGAACCCGGGTCAGGACCGCAGGCCGACACTCTAACCGCTGAGCCAAACTGGCCAGGGCGAGAAACAACTTTAAAAGAATTAAGTTATTCAGGTAGTTCTTAAGGAGAATTTTCAGTACATGCAGTTACAACTAAAGGGTAACATTTTCATCAAAACGTTTAACTCCCTGAGCCATTTTTTTTGTATAGCATGCATCAGAATATACGACAATTACCTGTTCATATCTCTGTTGTTTCCACTCAGGGAAAATTCATTGATAAAAAGACTTTATTTTATTCCTTTGTATGGTTTTACCACTTAGCATACTTGCCTAATGCAGAACAGTTATTTCCTAAATGTCTCACGCATGAATAAATGAGTTATATAATAACAAATAACTAGCATTTATGGAGCACCTGCTGCATGTCATATCTGATGCCCGCGTATATATTGCTAATGGTATGGCCTCTAAGGATGAAGAGTAGTGAATCCTGGGCTGAAGGCTGGTTTTAAACCATTATCAATAATCTCCAACTTAATTAAGCTAATAAAAAAAATACCAAAGAGACAGACCACATACTTTGACTAGTTGTTAAAAGTGAATAAAGTCTGAAAAAGGTCAATGAGGAAAGTTTAAAAGAAAATCATACTTTGGTAAATTCTGGTTAGAGAAGATTACAATAAAAACCAGCATCTATACCATGGTTGTTATTCGACCATTTACTAAGATGATACCTAGATTGAGTTTGGGATGTGGAAGGGAAGGGTGATAGACTACCAGGGACTGAATGTCATGGACACAGAACCATGGTTTTAAAAAGATTTGTGAAAGTGATTTTAAATAACTGTGAATATAGTTATTAAATAATAGTTTTGATACATATTATTTTATATTACTTTTACATGTAGTGAGTGGTTTCTGGAATATAACATATTGATATTTTGTTCATACTGTGTTTTATTTTCATTTATGTGATATTTGTCAGTTTATTTCACATGAAGTCCTAAGTAGCTATACTATAACTACAATCACCAAGTGGCAGTGAACAAAGCCAGTAAGCTAATACTTACTGTTAAGATCCTAGGATGTCTTGTTAGACATTAGTGCAAAAATCCCAATGAATATGTAATATAGAATGAAGCAAGGACTATAGGAGTAACATAAACAATGAGCAACCCTTAGAACCAAGCACAGTATCTCACACATAGTAGGTGATCAATAAATTTCTCTTGAATGAATAAGAAATAGGATGTCCTCAAAAGCATATGAGTCTAAGGCCCTCTGTCAAGTTGGTATGATGCAGCAAAACAGAACTATACAAATACACAACTAATAATAATAGTAAAAAAGATCTAACCCAGGAAGGCTGTTACCCGGCTTGTGCTCTTCGCAGTGTTCATTTCAAGGACAAAGTCAGCATGTGAGCTATAGCCCAGCAGTCTGGCGACTTTGGCCCGCAGTGGGAGTAGCTGCTGTAGAATTCTGGTGTTTTCCTAGTAATAAACAAGAACAACGAGAACAATAAACAATAATAATTAATAGTTAATTGGATCCAAAGCACTAAAAGAGTTGTTAAATGCATTTTTAGGTTGGTAAAACTGTCAAATATTTTTACACCATCTCAACCTATAATAAATTATTTCATTTCAGTGTTATTGACTTTTTAAAAATTCATGAGCCAATTGTATTTCTGAATTAATTGGCTTTTTAAACCTCATCAGATAGTTATGAGGTCTTAATAAAATTTTAAGTACTGTAAACTTACAGTGAAAATGTATTCTTAAGGACTACAGTGAGTCTACATTTAGTCTCATTGATAGGACTACACCAAATATCGGTACCTAAATTGTATTTTCATTGTGGTAGGATATACATAACACAAAATTTGCTGCTTTAACTTCATACCCATTAGTATGGCTATTATAAAAAAACACAAACAGCCAGGCTGGTGTGGCTCAGTGGCTGAGTGATGACTCATGCACCAAGAGGTCGCCGGTTTGTTTCCCAGTCAGGGCACATGCCCAGGCTGTGGGCCAAATCCCCAGTGGGGGGCATGCAGGAGGCAGCCATTGATGTTCTCTCTCATTGATATTTCTATATATCTCTCTCTGTCCCTTCCTCTCTCTCTAAAACGCAATAAAGAAAAAAAAAAAAACACCACAAACAAGCCCTGGCCATTTGCTCAGTGGTTAGAGCATCAGCCTGCGGACCAAAGAATCGCAGGTTTGATTTCGGTCAAGGACATGTACGTCAGTTGCAATTTGGTCCCCGACCCTGGTCAGGGTTATGCAGGAGGCAACCAATCGATGTCTCTCTCTCACATCGATGTTTCTCTCTCCCCCTTTCACTCTGTCTGAAGATAAATGGAAAATATATCTTCAGGTGAGGATTAAAAAACAAACAAAAACAAAACCACAAACAAAACAGTAAGTGTTGATGGGGATGTGAAGAAACTGAAATCTTTGTGCATTACTGATGAGAGTGTAAAATGGTGTAGCTGCTATGGAAAACAGTACTGGGATTTCTCAAAAAAACAAAAAAAAATTAAGCATAGAATTACATATGATCCTGCAATTCCACTTCTGGGTATAGATCCCAAAGAAATAGAAGCAAGGACTCAAACAGCTATTTGTACAACCATGTTCACTGCAGTATTATGTGAATACCATCCAAATGGTGGAAGCAACTCGAATGTCTACCAATGAATAAATAGATAAAGAAAAGGTGGTATACACATACAATAAAATATTATTCAGCCTTAAAAAAGAAAGAGCTTTTGAAAAAATTAAAAACCTCCTGGAAACCAATGAAAACGAACACACAACAACACAAAATCTATGGGACGCAGGGAAAGCAGTCCTGACAGGAAAGTTCATAGCACTACAGGCCTACCTAAAGAAATAAGAAAAATTCCTAATTGACTTTCTTACCCTAAACTTAAAGAACTAGAAAGTAAACAAAAAGGAAAACCCAGAACAAGTAGAAGGAAAGAAATAGTAAAGGTCAGAGCAGAAATAAACAATAAAGAAACTAAAAAATCAATTCAAAAGATCAATGAAGCAAAGAACTGGTTCTTTGAAAAGATAAAAAAGATCGATGGACCCTTAGCCAGACTCACCAAGAAACAAAAAGAGAGGACCCAAATAAACAAAATCAGAAACCAAAGAGAAGTAACAACTGACACCACAGAAATACAAAGAGAAAGACAAATACCACATGATCTCACTTATTTGTGGAATATAATGAACAAAATAAGCTGATCAACAAAATAGACCCAGAGACATAGAAAGGTGTACGGTTTAGATTGACAAACCTCAGAGGAGGGGGGCAAGGGGGATGGTTGAGATAAGCCAAAGAACTTATATGCATGTATGCATAACCAATGGACATAGACAACAATTCCGGGGGGGTTGGGGGGGGATGGGGAGGAGGGTGCCTAGGGGGGGAAAGGAGAAACATCTGTAACAAAAATAAATTAATAAAAGTTAAAAAAAAAAAAGAGATACAAAGGATCATTAAAACATACTATGAACAATTATACGCCAAAAAATTGGACAATCTAGGCAAAATGGACATATTTCTAGAAATACACAGTCTCCCAAAACTGAACTGGGAAGAGATAGAAAACTTGAACAAACCAATAACAACTAAGGAAATTAAAGATGTAATCAAGAAAGTCCCAGCAAACAAAAGCCCAGGTCCAGATGGCTTTACAAGGAGTTGTATCGCGAACATTCAAAGAACACACACCATTCTCCTCAAACTATTCCAAAATATCCAAGAAAGCAAAAGACTTCCAAACTCATTTTATGAGGCCAGCATAATCCTGATTCCAAAACCAGATAATTACAAAGAAAGAAAACTACAGTCTTTTTCCCATCTTGCAAGATGGCAGGGGAAAAAACCTGAGAAGCTGATACTAAGGAGAAGAAACCTGACACTAAGGAGAAGAAACCTGGAGCCAAGAAAGCTGATGCTGGTGGCAAGGTTAAGAAGAGTAACCTCAAGGCCAAGACGCCTAAGAAGGGGAAGTCCCACTGCAGCCGAAACCCGTCAGAGGAATTGGTAGGTATTCCCGGTCAGCTATGTATTCCCGAAAGGCCATGTACAAGAGGAAGTATTCTGCAGCTAACTCCAGGATTGAAAAGAAAAAGAAGTAGAAAGTTCTTACTACTGTCACAAAACCAGTTGCTGGCAACCAGAATGGTGGTACCTGAGTGGTTAAACTTTGCAAAATGCCTAGATGTTATCCTACTGAAGATGTGCCTTGAAAGCTGTTGAGCCAGGGCAAGAAACCCTTCAGTCACCACGTGACAAAACTGTGGACTAGCATCACTCCCGGGACCATTCTGATCATCCTCACTGGGCGCCACAGAGGCAAGAGGGTGATTTTCCTGAAGCAGCTGAGCAGTGGCTTGCTACTTGTGACTGGACCTCTGTCCCTTAATCGAGTTCCTCTGTGTAGAACACACCTGAAATTTGTCAATGCCACCTCCACCAAAACTGATATCAGTGGTGTGAAAATCCCCAAATACCTCACTGATGCTTACTTCGAGAAGAAGCTGTGCAAGCCCAGGCACCAGGAGGGTGAGATCTTCAACATAGAGAAAGAGAAATATGAGATTACGGAGCAGTGCAAGGTTGACCAGAAAGCTGTGCACTCGCAAATTCTGCCAAAAATCAAAGCTGTTCCTCAGCTCCAGGGCTACCTCCGCTCTGTGTTTGCTCTCACAAATGGGCTTTATCCTCATAAAATAGTGTTCTAAATTTCTTACAAAGAACCTAATTAAATAACTGATCTATTGTTAAAAAAGAAAGAAAGAAAAAAAAAAAACTACAGGCCAATAGTCCTGATGAACACAGATGCCAAAATCCTTAACAAAATATTAGCAAATTGAATCCAGCAATACATTTAAAAAATTACTTATCGTGACCAAGTGGGATTCATCCCTGGAATGCAAGGATGGTACAATATCCACAAATCAATAAATGTGACTCTCCACATAAACAAAATGAAAGATAAAAACCATACGATCATATCAATAGATGCTGAAAAGGCATTTGACCAAATCCAGCATCCATTTCTGATAAAAACGCTCAGCAATGTGGAATAGAGGGATCATATCTTGACATAATAAAGGTCATATATTAAAGACCTATAACCAACATCATACTCAATGGGCAAAAACTAAAAGCATTTCCCTTGGGAACAGGAACAAGACAGGGATGCCCACTTTCGCCACTCTTATTTAATATAGTACTGGAAGTCTTAGCCACAGCAATTAGACATGATAAAAGAATAAAAGTGATTCAATAGAAAAGAAGGAAGTGAAACTGTCATTATTTGCAGATGACATGATATTGTACATAGAAAACCTTGAAGACTCCACCAAAATTCTACTTGATTTAATAAATAAATTTTGCAAAGTAGCATGATACAAAATTAACATAAAAAAACTGACAGCATTCTTGTATCCCAACAATGAACTCACAGAAAGAGAAACTAAAAGAAAAATATCCCATTTACCATTGCGGCAAAAAAATTAAGATACCTAGGAATAAACTTAACCAAAGAAGTAAAGGACTTATTCACAGAAAACTACAGGACATTGAAAAAAGAAATAGAAGAAGATATAAAAAAGTGGAAGCATATACCTTATTCACAGATTGGAAGAATTAACATCATTAAAATGTCCATACTAGCCCTGGCCGGTTTGGCTCAGCGGTTAGAGCGTCGGCCTGCGGTCCGGAGAGACCTGGGTTCGGTTCTCGCTAAGGGCACGTACTTCGGTTGCAGTTTGTCCCCGGCCCTGGTTGGTCGTGCGGGTGGCAGCCACTCGATGTGTCCCTTCACGTCGATGTTTCTCTCTCTCTCTCCCTCCTCTCTCTCCCTCCCACTCTATCTGTACAAAAAATGGAAAAATGTCCTCGGGTGAGGATAAAAAAAAGAAAAAGAAAAAAAATGTCCATACTATCCAAAGCAATCTATAGATTCAATGCACTCTCCATCAAAATACTAAAGACATATTTCACAGAGCTGGAAGAAATACTCCAAAAGTTTATATGGAACCAAAAAAGACCCCAAATAGCCACAGCAATCTTAAAAAAGAAGAACAAAGTAGGAGGGATCACAATACCTGCTATCAAGTTATACTACAAAGCCACTATAATTAAAACATCCTGGTACTGGCATATAGATCAATGGAAAAGAACAGAGAACCCAGAAACTGACCCAAGTCATTATGCTCAATTAATACTTGGCAAAGGTGAAAGAGCATACAGTGGAGTACAGATAGCCTCTTTAATAAATGGTGTTGGGAAAATTGGACAGCTACACGCAAAAAATGAAACTAGACCACCATCTTACACTATATACAAGAATAAACTCAAAATGGATACAAGACGTAAATGTGACTTGTGAACCCATAAAAAGCCTAGAAGAAAATGTAGGCAACAAAATTGCAGATATTACATGCAGCAGAATTTTCACTGATACAATGACTAAGGCAAGAGAAATAAAGGAAAAAATGAACACGTGGGACTACATCTAACTAAAACAAACATCAAAATGGAAAGGGAGCCCACTATTTGGGAGAGCATAAAGGCCAACGATACATCACAAAGGGGGTTAATTTCCAAAATATAGACTCATACAACTTAACAAAAGGAAGACAAAGAACCCAATTAAAAAAATGGGCAGAGGACCTAAATAGACACCTCTCCAAACAGGACATACAAATGGCCAAGAGACATATGAAGAAATGCTCAACGTCACTAATCATCAGAGAGATGCAAATTAAAACAACAATGAGGTATCACCTCACACCTGTCAGAATGGTTGTCATCAACAAATCATCAAACAACAAGTGTTGGTGAAGGTGTGGAGAAAAGGGGACTCTATCTAGTACACTGCTGGTGGGAATGCAGAGTGGTGCAGCCACTATGGAAAATAATATGATGTTACCTCAAAAAATTAAAAATTGAACTGTTATTTGACCCAGTGATCCCACTTCTAGGAATATACCCTAAGAAGCCTAAAACACCAATCAGAAAGAATATATGGACCCCTCTGTTCATAGCAGCACTATGTACAATTGCTAAGATCTGGAAACAGCCCAAGTGTCCATCAGTAGATGAGTGGATAAAAAAGTTGTGGTACATATACACCGTGGAATACTATGCAGCTGTAAGAAAGAGGGATCTCTTATCCTTTGAGATAACATGGAGGGACCTGGAAAGCATTGTCCTAAGCAAAACAAGCCTATCAGTGAAAGACAAATATCACATGATCTCTCTTATTTGTGGAATATAATGAACAAAACAAGCTGATGAACAAAATAGACCCAGAGACGTAGAAGTAGGGTATAGACCGACAAACCTCAGAGGGGGACGGGGGTGGAAAGAGATAAACCACAGAACTTATATGCATGTATGCATAATGGATGGACATAGACAACAATGTTGGGGGGTGCGGGATAGGGAGGATGGTGTCAATGGGGGAAAAAGGAGAAACATCTGTAACAATGAATTAATAATAATAAAAAAAACAACGGGAAGAGCTTTTGACACATACTAAAACATGGATAAACCTTGAAGATCATGTGGCAATGGTAGCACAACAATGTGAATATTCTTAATGCCACAGAACTGAACACTGTAAAGTGTTCCCAGGATTTTTCTCAAATTATTACAAGTATTTTCTATATTATATTATATTTGTATTAAAATACAAATACCTCTGGCTGGTTTGGCTCAGTGGTTATTACGGTGTTGGCCTGTGGACCAGAGATATCTGGGTTCAGTTCCCACTAAGGGCATGTACCTCAGTTGCAGTTTGTCCCCATCCCCTGCTGGGGTCGTGTGGGTGGCAACCACTAGATGTGTCTTTCTCATGTGGATGTTTCTCTCTCTCTTCCTCCTTCTCTCCCTTCCACTCTATCTGAAGATAAATGCAAAAATGTCCTCAGGTGAGAAAAAAAAATACAAATAACGATATTGTCTTATCTCCAGATTTTTACATCTTTCCCAACTGAAACTCTGTACCTATTAAAATATTAACTCTCCATTCCCCTTTCCTCCAGCCCCTGGCACCCATCATTCTACTTTCTGTCTGTATGAATTTGACTACTCTTCGGGACCTCATTTAAGTGGAATTATACACTATCTGTCCTTTTGTGTCTCACTTATTTCATTTAGCATAATGTTGTTTTTAAACAATAAAAGAAAAAGTAAATAAATGTTTAGGTCAAAGAACTACTACTCTCAATGATTAAATCAGTAAATTTTTAATTTTATTTATTTTTAAAATCTTAACCCAAGGATATTTTTCTATTTATTTTCAGATAGAGTGGGAGGGAGGGGGAGAGAGATAAACATTGAGGGACACATCGACTGGTGTCCTCCCCACAACCCCAGCCTTGACCAGAATTGAACCTGTGACTCTTTGGTCTGCCCACCAATGCTCTAACTGCTGAGCCAAACTGGCCAGGCTAAGTCAGCAAATTTTTAATAGACATGTTTGAAGGAAGATCAGACACCAAGGTCAGATTATCTGAGTTCCAAATTTCGCTCCACCATTTACTAGTTGTCTGTTGACAAGTACCTTAACCTTTCTAAGTCTCGGTTTTCTTATCCGTAAGATACAAATAATGGAAGTAGCTAAGTCATAGGGAGACAATGAAGATTCCAAAGAAAATATAGATAAAGTACCTAGAAAGTGCCTGGTATAAGAACAAACACTATATAATTATGTTATAATTACTATTATTTTATTTATTTATTTTTAAAATATTTTTTTGCAGAAACAGAATTTTATTCAGGACATCCATCTGTAAAGCAGATGGGTTGAGTCCAAACTGGCATCAGCCTATAATTACTATTATTTTAAAATTAGAATGGAAACATGGATAAGAAGCACACATAGTGTAATTCTCCAAGTTCTAAAATTAACTGGTCTGAGTTTTTCTTTCACCTTTTTTAGTTTCCCTAGATCTTCTCTTTAGACTGCCAATTTTCTCCCAATATCTGTTCCCCTGTTCTTCCTCCTAGGACTAGAATTCTCTGAGTGTTTGCCAGACACATGGTCACCTGACTACCTTCCCCAGACTTCCTTAAAGCTAGCTGTGGGCCGGTGGAATATGAATGAGCTGATGAGTGAAGTTTCTGGGTCATCTCTTTATGATGCTTGTCTTGCCAGCCGTGGACTAAAGGCGACAACAATGACCTTGGAAGCCACACACACAGGATGGCAGGGCTCTCCTTCAGCTCTGGACCACTCACCTCCATAGTCAGTTGCAAGAGAAATAAATCTTTTTTTTTTTTACATTGTAGTCAAACATATAACATAAAATATGCTGTTTTAACCATTTCTAAGTATACAATTCAGTGGCACTAATTACATTCAAACTGTTATGCAACCATTACCACTATCTGTTTCCAAAACTACCCCACACAGAAACTTGGTAACCATTAAGGAGCAACTCCCAGTCTCCCCAGCTCCTGGCTAACCATTAATGCTTTCTGGAAAGAAGTAACTTTTATTTATTTGAGTCTCTGTGCTTTTGGTTGACTTTTGCACAGTTGCTTAAGCTCTACCCTAATACCCACAGGCCTGATACTAGGAATAGGGTGCTGCGCTAACAGAAATGGAAAATGTACAGGAGTGGAAAGTGAGGTCACAGACGCTGCAGGCGGGGAAGCTAGTAATCCTCCATACACCAGGGATCACACTTGTTGAAACTGTTGCTCGCCATAACTTGGAGGGTGGGCCAATTACCTACTGAGTCTTAGCTGAGGGGAACTGTTTGGGAAAACTAATAATGTTGTTTGTTGTGCGTTTGTTGGCATTTGTTGCTTTTATAAAAATTACATGAGAAAGACGTGCTTAAGTGAGAATTGGTCAGTCTGCAAAGATGGAAGGAAAAGAGTTTTGCTAAGAGAGGTTTTGCCTGTGGCCCACAATCTGAGGCTTCTGATGGCTGGAAAAGCCAGTTCCCCTGCATCCTAACATCAGGAGCGAAGATTATCACTGAGTAACGTACTGAGGAGATTTGTTTGAGAATGCTGTCTTCCTCCTCGAGCCTACTGTTTCAGATAGCCCTGAAGCAGGCACCATTAAATTGAGGAAGAGCAGGGGAAACATGATACAGGAGCCCGCATATTAGAAAAGGTTTGGAAGGTTTAAGAACTACGACCAAAAGTGATAGCTGGGTATAGTTATTATAACATGAATCTGGAAGTAAATAGACAGAAAAGCTAAGTTTTGTATTGGATTTTATTACCAAGGACATCATAAGCCTGGCCTACAAAAGCTTATGATTTGATTCCTAAAGCAACCCTCAGGCTTCAAACTGGCATCAGCAGGAATCTTGGCTAGCAGCCACCCAGAATATGGTCAAGAAAGAATTCCCTGCAGGCAAAACCAGGGGCTATAGACACAATTGTTAACAGAATCCTTGCCTGAAAGGAGACTCAAATAAGTCCAATGGGCTATCCCAGGAACTTCCCAGACACAGAATCCTTACAATTCCTGCCAAACTGTTTCTGAATATTGGCTATGTTTCCCATTCTCACTTTTTCCAAATGGGAGTTTTTATTGTGGTTATTCTGTTCCTGTTCTACTATTGTGTGTGTGTGTGTGTGTGTGTGTGTGTGTGTGTGTGTGTGTGTGTATGAGAGGGAGGGAGGGAGGGAGGGAGGGCGAGCGAGCAAGCGAGTGCGCGCGCCAGACAACTTGCCTTCCCTTTTACGGGTTGCTAGATTATGAGAAGCTATAACTGGGATGGACTGTGTATCACCCAGAGAGTCAGTCTAGTCTTTGAGCTCAAGGCAGTAGCCGAATGGGATCTGACACATGGTGAATGGGGGGAAAAGCTGCTCGTGGTTACTTGAATAGACTGTGGTGCATCTGGCTAGTTGACTCTTAAAATCCATTTCTAGTTCTTCTAGTAATAGAATCCACTCAGCTGAGCAAATGGCTATCAACTGAAGATATACTTCCCAGCCTCCCCTGCAGATACATGTAGATAAATGGAATTTGGGTCAATGCGATGTGCATGTAGCTGATATACGCCATTTCCAAGTCCTCTTCTTAAAGATACTTGCTCTGTACTTTATTTTCCCTCTTCCAACAGATTGGCAAGATGACAACTGAAATGCTCTTGGAGTCACTTGTTGGAAGAGAGAGAGATGCCCTGCCCTACCAGTCCTGGACTTTTGACTTGGGAGAAGACTACAACTTTCAGTTTATTTAATCCATTCTATTTTTATTAGAATAGCTTAGCCTGTGTCCACCCCAAGCAGACTGTCAAAGGGAGAGGGAAAAGTTAAATATTCTAGGTCTGAGGAATTAGGAGGCATAATGTTCACATAAATAGGAATATTAGTCTCTGGGCTGACTTAAACATTGGTTAACAAAGCAAACCCTTTCCTTAAAGTCTTCCATAAAAACAAACAAACCAAAAAAGACAAACATTTATAAGTACCTCTTTGCACCTTGTATTAAAAGCCATTTCCATCTTCCTTCTGGTTTCTGGGATACAACATTTCTTCATGACAGGAAAATAGTGTGGATATTTTAAGGTAATTTTATACTTGTCATCATCTGTCTTTTCTAAACTATCAATGAAATCATCAGGAAGAGCACCTGCAAAAAATTCTCTTATACATCAATTTTTCCAATCATTATTGGTTTACTTAGCATTGGCATGGTGCCATTAAGAGTTTTAGGAATTTTGTGGATTAATTAAAATGAAAGTAAAAGAATGACAATTCTTATAATATCATGGGGGTGGTGGTTAGAGAACAGGTGTCTTAGGAGATGCTAATTCAAAATATGAGTGGGGTTCAGTGCACTTGTGCAGATGGTGTTTTGATGTAGAATAGGCAAATTAAGCCAAGCGAGATCCAGAACAGAGTAAGAAGAGACTAGTTCAAGTTACAATGTAGGGGACATTGCGAGGTAAAACATTTTTCAAGGCACTGAAGGCTGTTCAACAACAGCATAAGTTAACCAAGAAAGACTACAAAATCTTCTCAAGACTGTCTCTAGAAATAGTATACAATCTTACTAGTCTATGATCTAAAACTGGCTTGGTTGTCTTTTCTGTAGAAGGGATGGCTGGTTCTGTAGAAGTGACTAGATGATTTTTTTAAAGAATTCTTTTTAACTTTGATTTGGCAAGATGTGAGGTGACATTACCTGCCTAAATGACATGGTCTCATCTAGAAAAAAATAACAAAATTTTACCAAGTTCAGCCTTGGAAAATACAAGAAAGGTATCATCCTCGTTGAGGTTTTTGTTAAAGTCAATGCATAGTTCACTCATTCTTTTCTTCATTGCTTTGATTTCCTGAAACAAAGACATAAATACAGGACAGGACATGAATCTTTTATTTTTATGGCCATCAGTCAAGCACATTTCACTCTCATGTGAAGATTGACTTCTGTCCCCAACCCTCAGGAGGCCTTTCCTAGAGATGCGCTGACTAAATAGTTTTCTATGCTCTTCTATTTTTTGTCCGTGAGTATCTGCACGTAACGTGAACAAAATGGCAATCTTGGTGATGTGTTGGAAATTTTCATAGATTTGCAATAACTAAGTAAACTTAGGAGGTACAGTCCAGGCAGAATCTCACACACAGTACACACACAGTTGGCTGGTGAACAAATAAATCTGTTAGCCTGTTCACAATATTTTGAATCTCTTCTAGTTCAAAATTTCAATTTAGTAAATTAGTACTTGGAGCTGAAATAATCTAAGAGATATGAACCGAATAATTAATTCTTTGGTTGCTTAGGGGAAAAAATGTTATATGTTAGTTTTATAGAGCATTTGCAAACAAATGTGATTTATGAGCCCTAACATTTGTCTAAAAAGTATCAGGTGGGGAATCAAAGGAAGCAATATGAAGGGAACCACAAGAAAAAACATGAAATCATTTTATTAATCTGTCCTACTTTTCTGAAAAAGCTAGATAATAACATTTACAGAAACCACACTGTTTCTCAATGTGTGGCCCTGACCAGAAGCATCATCCTCACCTGAGAATTGGTTAGAAGTGCAAGTTCATGAGACCCACACCAAATCTACTGAAACGTGCTCTCAGAGGTGGGTTCTATCATCAGAGTTTTAACAAGCCCTCCAGATAATTCTGAGGAACACTAGATTTGACACATAGTGTCATTTTCGGACATTCTGGTTGTCTCCTCGAGTCCCTTCCACTTCCTCCATGTAGTCGGAGTGGAACCTGATTCTATTTTAAGTTCCATCTAATCTGCACCAGTTAGATTACGTAATCCCATCTCACTGCAGTAGTGACTGGTTCAGGTAACCCAGACCTGGCACTCACTCAACTAAAAAAGGATTCAGGATCAGGCATATGATCTAATTTGGGCCATTAAGACAAAAGAGACATTTGATGGAAGCTTCTCTCTGTCCTTCTTTAGGGGTAGGGAAGCTTTTTTTCTGACAAGGGCCATTTGGATATTTATAACATCATTCGCAGGCCATACAAAATTATCAACTTAAAAATTAGCCTGCTGCCCTGGCCGGTTTGGCTCAGCGGTTAGAGCATCGACCTGCGATCCAGAGAGACCCGGGTTTGGTTCCCGCTAAGGGCATGTACCTCAGTTGCAGTTTGTCCCCCGCCCTGGTTGGGTTGTGAGGTGGCAACCACTCGATGTGTTCCTTTCACGAAGATGTTTCTCTCTCTCTCTCTCTCTCGTCCTCTCTCTCCCTCCCACTCTATCTGAACAAAAAATGGAAAAAAATGTCCTCGGGTGAGGATAAAAAAAAAAAAAAAGAAAAAAAAAATTAGCCTGCTATATTTGGTCAAACATTTAATTAACTCACTCCTAATGTGATGATCAGGCTAATTTGTTAAGGTGTGTGATGTTAGCTGGTATTGATTTTGCGGGCCTCATCTGGACATTCCCCGCCCCGTTAATCTGGATGGTAGGGTCTTGAGATGTGCAGCCATCTTAGAAGTGAAAGGAGCCATCTTTGGCACAGGGGCTGTGAGGAAGACAGAGTGGAGAATAGAAAAATCAGGTGGCCAATGACACCACTGAGCATCTGGATCAAACTAACCCATGAAGCCCGAATACCTGTGGACCTTCCAGTCATACAAGCAAGTAAATCTCTTCTATTGTTTAAATTGTTCCAACAGGATGTTGTTAGCTGCAACCAAACACATTTTAACTAACATAGTGTTTATGCTCCAAACGGAACTGACGATTGACCAGAAGGGCAAGTCGGATAAGTGAGATCAGTCCCGTTTCCCCTGTAAGTAGCATGAAGAGGACAGGTGTTCAAAGGGCATTCGGGTGGGTGAAAGGTGGTGCCTTCAGGTATAGCTACCATGCTGGATTCCTTTCAAATTTGTTTCCAGTTCTACTGTCTAGAAGAATCACCTGGAAATAAATCATGGGTCATTTTTTTTCCTTTACAAAGAATGAGTTTATTCTGCAGCTGAGTGTACTTCTAAAACTGGAAGATTTGACTGGTGTTAGACAAAAGAAAAAGTTTGAGAAGCAATTTTCAGCAGCTAATCTGTCTACCTTTAAGGGACATATAATAATCGCAAGGTATTCCATTTCAAAGTGCTGGTTTTAAAACTCTCCATCATAAGGATCTTATTACCAGTGCCCTATCTCTGTAAGACCAAGGGAATGAACATACAAATCAACGATTGAGGCCTGGAGCTAGGTATTGGGGAATGTAAGATAGAGCAGAGAAAATAAGCCCAGCACACATGAAACAAATAAAATGTGGATAGGGTTAAAGAAAAATTAAGTTATCAGCTGTGTGTCAGTCACCATGAAGTGGATAGGAGTTGTGGAATTTAAAACCACGGACTATCAAATACATTGTAAATGGATTTCTGTTATGCATTATTTCCCATATTAAAAACATGTGTTTCCCTATTTCCTGTTGCATTTTGTTTTATTTACTCTTTTTTTCCCACTAAGAAAAGGAAACATAAACTCACATTTTGTACTTGTTCTGGAAGATGGAGTCCATTCCTTTTTCCCATTTTAACTGATTTTTCCAAGTACCGTCTGGCTTCAGGCTTTATCTTCCCCAGATCACAGGTTTCCTGAAATTAAAGAGTGACAACCATTCTGTTACAACAGTATCTGGGTAACTTCTAAACTACGAGGCCAAAGCAAATGTATTCATCTCTGTTGGGCTATGAAGCACCCAGGTAATTAAGAGGTAGGCTCTTTTGAAGACCTAATTTATTTTATGCTTTAGTGAGCCTCTGCTCATTTAAAACAGAAAAAATAAATAAATGAAAAGGTAACGAGAATTGCCTGCCTTGTGTAAGAATCAAGAGTGCCTATACCCTTTGCAAGTGTGATAACAGAAGCATTTGCATAATCTCATTCTCAGCATTCTTTATGACCCAGTAGTGGTCTTTCTCACAAAACACATTCTTTATCACAAACCAGAGGATTTAATTTTCTATCATTTGCTAACCTGGTTCCACTTGAGAGGGAGGCATAAAAATGAAGGGCAGATTCTATACAAATGGAGAGTGGGACTCTTTTGCCAACATACCAAAAAAGGACAGCTGGATAAAACCTCAGCAAAAGGCTTCCAACACTTTAAAAATGCTTTACTGACATTTGGCAAGAGTGATCGGAGACTACAGCAAGCTGCGTATGAACAAGTATCTGGGGAAAATGAGTCGGCACGGCACATGGAGGAGGAATGCTGGACAGTGCATTTCAACCTGCACACAGCAACACAACAGCACTCACAGAAAAGAACGAAGGGCCCTGGAGGAAGAAGAAAAATTCCCCTGGCCACAGCAAGGCATAAAAACCCCAGATGGCCCTGGAGGATTTGGCTCAGCGGTAAGAGCATCGGCCTGCAGTCCAGAGAGACCCGGGTTCGGTTCCCACTAAGGGCATGTACCTCGGTTGCAGTTTGTCCCCTGCCCTGGTTGGGTCGTGCTGGTGGCAGCCACTCGATGTGTCCCTTTCACGTCGATGTCTCTCTCCCTCCCTCCCACTCTATCTGAACAAAAAATGGAAAAAAATGTCCTCGGGTGAGGATAAAAAAAAAACAAAAACAAAAAAACAAAACAAAAAAAAACCCCAGATGTTTTTTCAAAACAGGTGGCAAAATGTATAGTACATGGCACATCTGGAAGGCCGGTCAGTGTGTGGTCCCTGGGAGGAAATGGACTCCAGACAGAGTGATAGATTCAGTTTGGTTGAAAGGCAACGAGAGATTTCTATCTCTAGATCCTTAGAGACCTCCCATTGGTTGCACTCTCTCTCCATGAAAGACGTGGGCTGTCCATCCCTGAGCTTTACGTTTTCCCACCTAATTTGATCTTTAAAAGAACGAATTAGATCTTAGCTTTGGAGCCTGCATTTTAGATTGTTGGCACAAGGTTCTTGCAATAATTCTGTAAGTTTTCACATTTTGTTGTAGCAGGTTAATAGAGTTGTACTCTAACTTAGAGTACTCCTTAATAGAACAATCTATATTTCACCTTGCCTACCAATAAAAAATATTTTGTCACAGCAGTGAAGCTCTGGTGCATACATTACTCACAGTTTCCTCTGACTTATTCTCAGTGGAGGCAGAGAACAATCACTCATTTTTCCACAATAACCTCCTTTTATGTCCTTGGAGCATTTCTGAGCATGCTGGCGTGACCGGGGTTGGAACCTTCTCTAGCTGGCATGCACTGGGATCTCAGCAGCAGGTGTCTGCACTGGGAAGAAACCCAGGATGGCCAGAGAGATAACTGGGCTGTGGGCTGGCTCCCTCAGGGATGGCCAGCAGCTCAGATCAGTGTCCATGTGGATGTGACGATTAACCTGAGTTGATCACGGCTGGCTTTAACAGCGCCAGGAAGTCTGTCGTGAGGTGTGGGCCATGGCAACAGGAGTCTCTAGACAGTACAATATTGGAAGTCGTAAGGCTGGGGAGAACGTAGGCAGTAGCTATGTATAGTGGGAGGAGGAGAAAAATGTCCCTGTCGAGAAGGGCCTGGCAAGAGCTGGGTAAGATGAAGGACCCAAGTGAGCAGGTGGAGATCCAGAGCAGAGAGCCTTCCCAGCAGGGCAGTGAGTTTTCCCAGCAGGGCAGACAGCCTTTCCAGCGGGGCCGTGAGCCAAGACAGAAGCCAGGCACACAGATGGACAGCAAGTGGGTACTTGGTTTCCGGGGTTCACGCGGTCACATTTAGCCCTCGGGTCAGGACAGAGGCCCATCGGTCTCACCAGCTGATGTGAGCAGAATTACTCTCTGCACGCAGGATGGGCTCTCATATTAGGTGGGCCTGGACTTGCCATATCTGGGCTGCTACTTCAGAAAGCCTGGAAGTATACTTGGCATAGTAAACTCCAAATTCACAGTCTAGATTAGGTAAGACTAGTTATTCTCCAAATAGTTAATACAAGTGTAAAAAGGTGGATGGATGTTCTGAGAAAAATCACCCCTGAAGTAGGTCTAATTAAAATGGGACTATTACAGAAATATGTGACTTGCCACAAAAACGACACAATGAAAATTGGACTCAACTATAACCAGACACCCTTTGCCAGTCAGACTCGAGGAATTGGGAAATCTCTGGAGGTCTCTGGTAGGAGTAAGGCACTTCTAAAATGTGCTTCTAAAGCACATTCCTGTCTCAGAGAGGATCATAACATTATCCCTCATACTCGCCAGGCAAGGTCAGAGTCCCTGCCCCAGGATTTTCTGAGAGGGAGTCAGGCAGCACTGCTAGACCACTCTGCTGCACTGCACCTCCCTTTCTGAGCAAGAACTTAATCCCCGTGAATCTGAACCAGTTCTCAGGCCTTTTAGGGTGAAGTTTCTCTTTCTTGGGAGAAGTGAGGTGGCTAAAGTTCTCGGAAGTAATTTTCAAACTTATATAACCCAACAACAGAGCTCTTTTTATAGCTCTGGGGTGACAAGATTTAGTTCCCCCCAAGTTCCTCCTGTAACAATGAACTTTTATGTAAAAGTGTGAATACACACACACACACACACACACACACACTCTCTTATGCGTACATTTGTATCTTGTACACTCATTTTACAGATGGAGGGTAAATGAGTTTCCTAAGATCACACAGCTGTTTAGTGGTAAAAATGGGAGTAGAAATAAATTCTTCAAGTTCTTAGTTGAGTACTTGGCCCAATATGCCATACAACTACATTACCATCCTTAATTCATAACTCTTTAGAATTTCATAATAAAAAAGGTGAAACATTTTCTTTTTTTGTTGTTTATTCTTTTCTTTTTTTTTTTTTTTTATCCTCACCCGAGGACATTTTTCCATATTTTGTTCAGATAGAGTGGGAGGGAGAGAGAGAGAAACATCGACGTGAAAGGGACACATCGAGTGGCTGCCACCCACACAACCCAACCAGGGCCGGGGACAAACTGCAACCGAGGCACGTGCCCCTAGCGGGAACCAACCAGGGCTAAGTCATTTTCTTAATTTCCCTGAAATCCTTCCCACCTCCTGTCCCATGATTTTTTGTTTTTTTCTTCACAAGACCTTCACATTTCCAGTTTCTAAAATATGTAAAGAGAATGATTTCAGCGGGATTTTCTGTATTGTGTATACAAAGAAGAAATTACAACATTGTTAAAAGAACTCTGAGGATTAAGCCAGTATATTCCTCTGAATATTATTTAGAGAAAATGACTCATAAACTTCAACTAATAAAGAAATATGAGACAACAGAGTATGATAATACAGACCCTATTACTGCAAAAGCGTACATAGGTATAACTTGTTTAATTAAATGTGTTATGTTTGCAGTTTTTTCTGGTCTTTCTTTTCAATCAGTACATTGACTGTTAGGTTTCTATCCTATAATTGTGAAGAGGACATTCTCAGGCAACTGCCTACATTCAGGACAGAAGGGCTGCCGAAATGTCTGCTTGCCGACTGCAAACTCAATACACTGTCACGAGATTCACGCCTCTGTGTGGGCCACGGGCAGCACAAGGACGTGGGGAGTGGGGAGACAGACTGCCTGAAGACACGCTTTGATTGGGACTACTTCAGATGCATTCAACATGCTTTTACTGAGCTCCTATTCACGCCAGGCACCAGGGAAACAAGGATGAATATCCTCGAGGTGCTTTGGATCATATGAAGAAAAAAAAAGATACATCAGCAAATAATGTCTATCATGTAGTGAATGAAAAGAGAGGTATGTAGGAAGAACAAAAGAGGGGTGCCTGTTTAATGGAGACACTAAGGCAAAGTAGTCGATGCTTTATATGGGATCCCCAGACTTTTAAGAGCTTGACAAAGGTACAATTCAAATAGAATTGATTTTGACAAATGACTAGACTCCATTTCAAAATCCATAAGGCTTGTAAAACAACAATGAGGTATCACCTCACACCTGTCAGAATGGCTGCCATCAATAAGTCATCAAACAACAAGTGTTGGCGAGGGTGTGGAGAAAAGGGGACTCTATCTAGTATACTGCTGGTGGGAATGCAGACTGGTGTAGCCACTACGGAAAACACTACGGTGTTACCTCAAAATTAAAAATTGAACTGCCATTTGACCCAGTGATCCCACTTCTAGGAATATACCCTAAGGAGCCTGAAACACCAATCAGAAAGAATATATGTACCCCCATGTTCATAGCAGCACTATTTACAATAGCTAAGATCTGGAAACAGCCCAAGTGTCCATCAGTAGATGAATGGATCAAAAAGCTGTGGTACATATACACAATGGAGTACTATGCAGCTATAAGAAAGAAAGATCTCTTATCTTTTGAGACGACATGGAGGGACCTGGAAAGTATTATCCTAAGCGAAACAAGCCAAACAGAGAAAGACACGTATCATATGATTTCACTTATTTGTGGAATATAATGAACATAACACTCTGGGGTAGTCCCAGAGACATGGAAGTGGGGTACAGACTGACAATCCCCAGAAGAACGGGTGGTGGGGGAGAGATAAACCACAGAACTTATATGCATGTATGCATGAACAATGGACAACAAAGGTGGGGACAGGGTGGGGAGGTAGGGGGAGGAGGGAATCAGTGGGAGAAAAAGGAGAAACATCTGTAACAAAAATAAATAAATTAATTAATAAAAAAAATCTATAAGGCTTGGTAAGTATTAAAGGGAATTACCATCACCATGCTGAATTTGGGACATAGTTTTCTTTCTTTCTTTCTTCCCCCCTTCCTTCTTTACTCTTTCCCTCCTTCTCTCCTCCTCTCTCATTCTTTTTCCTTCCATGGTTTTAAGGCACTGATTCTAGTATTTTATTTTGGCACTAGGTCTCCATGACTGTAAGAGTACAACACAATACTTAATCCCATGATCTATTCATTTACACAGTAACATTAAAACTCTTCTGTTTAAATCACTAATTGGCTAAGATGAATGGCAAGACCAAAGCCCACAGCTTTAAAAAATATATAAATATTACACTAGATAACTGTATTTCCCAATTTTGCTTGCATAATCCAGACTCCATTTCCCTAAAGAATCTCTCTTCTGTATTATTACTTAGCAGGCCACTGGAAAAGAAGATTATATGTCTGGATTGTTTTAACATGAAGACACCGCACATTTTTCTTACCAATATGGCTGGAAAGAGTGCTTTAATACCTTTTCTGATCTTTGCTGGTTTTTAGCCAACAACTGAGAAACCTTCGCCAGGACTGGGAAATGAGATTTACCATTTATTAAAGTGTCCAATTCTAGCAGAAAACTGATACTGATAGTTCTGGATTTAAAAAAAACTCCCCACCTAGTTTTTGTTCCTCTTTCAAAAAAAAAATAAAAAATAAAAAAAATAAAAACTCCCCAAATCAACATAACTATTTGTCAAGGAAGGCATTTAAGGGTAATAAGCTCCAATGCATAAACACACACAACAGTTATTTTTTATCCTGATGTAGCCTTAACAGACATTGTAAAATCTCCTAAAAATGTTCCCACAATAACCCACATGGATGAGAGTAATTACTGCATTGGAAAGAGGAACACTTATGGGACCAAATCTGAAACCACTATAAATTATTACAATAAAACCCTAAAGTGAACCAGACCAAACACATACGCCAATCTGATGGGTGCACTGGAGTTCACCAGGTCACTGTGCTGTGCTAGTCCGCTGTCCAGTCTGCTATACAGGCAGCAATCTGTTCCTCATCTCAGTGGGATCAGGCCACAATATACACAAAATATACAAAATTTAAAAGAATAACAACAATATCTAAAGTGACAAACCTCCCACATCTTGATAACATTCACAATCAGAGAAGGTGGAATAGTAACAAAAATATTAGACTCAATAACATTAAGATTGAAATACCTTTAAAATCTGTTTTAAATTGAAGTGTAGTTGGCATATAATATTATAGTAGTTTCAGGTGTATAACACAGTGATTTGACATTTTATATGATCACCACACTAAGTGTAGTAACTATCTGTCTGCATGATTCTGTCTATCTGAAATATCAAGAATAGGCAAATCCATAGAGACAGAAAGCAGACTGGCAGTTGCTAGGGGCTGGGGGAGGAGGAAAGAAGAATGACTGACTGCTTAATGGGGTATGGGTTGAAATACCTTTTTGAGGCTAGAAAATCCCAAATAAAAACTTAGAAGTCAGGATGAAAACAGAGCTAAAGAAATAAGAAATTCTCAGGGAAGTTTTAAAATACATATATAATACATAGGTAGAATGGAAATTCAATCATTGGGAATAAAATAAAATAGATAATAAAGGCCACAATTTGAATTACATAGAATAATAACTGGGGTCAAAAAGAAAAAGGGGAACAATTTAACTAATAAAAATAATCATAAAGTTATTTTAATTTGTTATTTTTATAGTACCAAAGATGAACAATTCTGAACCCCAGAGATCATGGATGATAGGGTGAAAAATGCTTGTCTGACATGAGGGAGTAGACAGCATATACACTTTTTTTTTTTTATGCTCATCTGAGGACTTTTTTTTTGCATTTATCTTCAGATACAGCGGGAAGGAGAGAGGAAGAGAGAGAGAGAGAAACATCAATGTGAGGGAGACACACCGAATGGTTGCCACCCACATGACCCCAATGGGGCCAGGGACAAAGTGCAACCAAGGTATGTGCTTTAGGCGGAAATCGAACCCGGGACTCTCTGATCCGCAGGCTGATGCTCTAGCTGCTGAGCCAAACCGGCCAGGGCGACAGCATATACTCTTATATGTCTAATAAAGTCTTGAGTGCATGTTGTAATCACTTGAAATAACACTGCTTTTTATTTCAGCTCTTTCATAATTGCTGAAAGGTACAACATTTCTAAGGTTTTTGCATAAAGATACCTGTAAAATTAAACAACAATGCCTACGATGAAAAAACATGGGCTGTTTTCCAAATTGCTGAGGTGGAAAATAAAAGGTCATGAAAATAAAAATTCAAAGCGAAGACAGGATAAAAATGTTAGAAAGCAACTCCACACTGGTGATGACAAGCCCACCTGGCAGCCTCACCTATGACATTCATTACCCATCATTTCCGAGAGTCCTGAAAAATGTGACGATGACAGACAGGAAAGACTGGCGTGCAGCATCGGTGTTCATCAATATCATGGCCAAAACCGCATGATACTGACTGATAACTCAATTCCACTTGCTGCTGGTTGATCTAATTTCATATACACCTTGCAATATTTTGAAAATTCAAGGAGATTTTTACATTGAACCATCAAGTTCATGATGGCTAAGAAACCTTAGATATATAGATGGACACTCTTTTACACTGGATCTTTAATCTTAAATCAATATAATTAGCAACTAAATATAAACCTAAGTGGTATACGGTATCATCATATAACACTGTGCTCTGCCAAATATTATAATAATTAGAAACAAAATCTAGGAGCATTCAAATACCCTTTACTGCTGGTCAAAGGGCTTTACTTTCTTATTGCAGATTTTTTTTTTCTTTTAAAGGGATTCATAACATCATTTACCTGTAAATGAAGAATTCTCAGAAATATATCTTCTCTCATGCTCATCTCGATATCGAAACGAGAAAGTCTTTTGTCCGCTTCTGTGCTGGCTGCCCGTACTTCTTTGTCAGAGGAGACGTGCTGGGGAAAGTCTAGCATGGTTCGTTCCACTGTCAACAGAGGGAGCAACTGTAAGGACTCCTCAGGTCAGTTTTAAGAAAACTACCTCCTGTCTAGATGAATGATTATCCTGATAAAAGTTTTCCTTTTATACTTTCTGTAAAGATTCCTAAGGCTATCAAAATACAGCATTTAATGCAGGGCTTGGCTGTCCCAGTGGCATTATTAGGAACAATAGGTGTGCACTGAGCACTTATTAAAATATGCTTTGGGTGTAATTTACTCACTATGAATACAGAAAGATAAAGGCATAGTTCTTATACTGAGGCATTTTATAAGCTAGGGAGAAGGGGTGGGGAGCAGCACATGAAAAGATAAAGAACCACACAGGGCAGAGCAGGTCAGCCGTCAAGTGAATGGGATGGTAACTGAAAGCAGCGGTGCTGAGGGCGGGGCTCTGTGCAGGGCCTCATGGAAGAGGCTGGCCCTAGAGGATGGTGGGCAAAGGAGGAGCTCAGAAGAGGACTGGAGAAGTCAAGAGGGTAAGCCTGGGGAAGGGCAGAGACAGAGGATGTTTAAAAAACAAGCACACCAACTTAGTGGGATGGCTTTTATTTAGAATAGAAGTTCTTAACCTTTCTACAGACTTTTTCAAGAATTTAATCGAAGTTATGGACCCTCCTCCAATGCAAACATTCATACAAACATAAAGAGTTCTGTACAATTTCAGAAGATTCCCAGGAAACTCAGTAGACACAACCAGTAAAGAGCTGAATATTGGGGCTATTCCTACTAAATGATGGTGCTAATGTAGTCTACTCTAATTTGACATGTTAAAGTTGGCTCAGAAGAGGACTGGAGAAGTTAAGAGGGTAAAACCCAAGTTGGCTCTTGGATTTTTCACACATTTGTATTTAGACTTTAATTGGGCAAAATCTGACGTCAATGAACTAACCCATACTATAGAAACAAATGCGTATGTATAGTTTACAGTGATGATCGTGGTTATTCTGTGACAAGGAACACAGTTCCATTTTATGTATAGTACTTTACAGGTTGTAAATAGGTCGAGTTTACACATGTGATATGTGGAAAATCGAAGAGACATCCTTTACATACCAAGAAATTGTACAGTTAAAGAAGCTACCTCGTTCTTATCAGTCCTCTTAAAACGTCGTTACAAATAAAGGTGTAAAAATATTGCCACAGATATCTGAATAAATTCATCATGTGTTTAAAAAAACCAAATTAGATAATTATTTTTTTAGGATTTGATTTAGTTAATTTTATGTCACTTAATTAAAGGAAGAATGAAACAGATTTAAATTTTAATACCTACAATAGTTATTCAAGGATATAAATAACTAACAGTTATCATTTCTGTTTACTTTTTAAAATGAGCTCAAAAAGATTATTAAGGAAGACAAAACTGCTCAGGAACTTAAATGAGCAGCATAAAATACAAGGACCTAAAATTGGAAACATATTCTTAAACCAACAATAATACTGGAAGCCATTTCCTTCCTTACATTGCCACAAAGATCTGCAACCAGACTTACACTCCTGCTGCCAAACTATAAACAATGCTGATATCTTAATACCTGACACTAGACGAGGGGGGGTTTTAACAGCTCTGGCTGGAGGCAGAATGAATTCTGTGAACAAGCACAGATAGAGAAAGTTAATCTTTAAAAACCTATTTCTAGGATGATTAACCCACAAAGATAAATTTATGGGAAAGTAAGAACAAACATCATAAAACTAAAAGTATATTTAAAAGATGTATTAGTGGGGAAAAGGATAATTCTTTAAAAAATATTTTATTTGTTTTTTCCTACAGATTTTAATATGTTAAATGTATATGTCACCAGGCTGGCAGACCATCTTGCTCATAAGTGACTGCAGACATGAGTATCTGAACCAAGGAGAAATCGTATATAGGGTGGAAAACACAGGCAATTACCTACTGGGAAAGCTCTGCTAAATGGGGACCAACCCCATCCCTTTGACTTTCACTAATCAGACCCTTTTTATTACGAGTTTAAACTCAGGGCTCTTAACAAGATGTAGTGGCCACTGATGAGAGTGATACAGTTGGTAGCTGAGGCAGAAACTGGAATGAAAGAGTAGCGGTCAGAGAAAGTAGCCAAGTCCCCATTATGAGGGACACATATAGTAGGGAACTCTTGGTGTTGAGGGGTTGGAGAGGGTAAAGTGATGGCCAGGTTACTAGGGCTCTGGAGAGTTCTGGACAATCTTCCCAATTCCAGAAGGCATACTAATGTTTACGATACCCAGTTCAACAGACACAGTATTATGTTCTTATGAAGCTTGAACACACAGCCAAGGTTGTTTAGTCGTAATTATCATACAAGATATATTGAACCCTTAGAGGTAATTGTTGTAAATCTTCATTTCTTATTACTCAAAGAGTCTAATACTCATATAATAACAATAATATATTGTAAGTGCAGGAAAAATGGAAAAGAGAGAAAAATAACAATCAACTGTTAACCCACCATCTGAGATATTAACTATCATTAAAATTTGTGTTATTAAATTATTAACATTTTCTTCTGGCTTTCCTTCTATGTCTCTTTTTTCTGGGTCATTAAATACTGCTTCTAAACATGATTTTAATGGCTCCATAGAGGGTGAGTATATCATAATTTATTTAGTCGTTCTATTTGTTGGCACTTAGGGGTTGCTTCTAAGCTTTTGCTTATGAGAGAGTACCTGTTTATACACACATACATTTAAACATGATTTTCCTGTACCTGATTATTTCCTTAGACTAAATGTATAGATGTGGAATTACTAGGCCAGGGTTTGAACTTCTTTAAAGTTTTCATATATACTGTCAATGCTCTCCAGAAAGCAGTGGTAATGAGTGTACATTTTATAGCACCTTTGCTAATATAAAAAATTTTAATCTTAGGTAACTTAATTCCAAACAATTAATTCATCATTAGGTAAAACCAATGTCTTGTAAAATTGGAAAACGGATTGCCAAGACAGAAGGTGGTTTACGATACCCACAAAATGAAATATGGATGTGCTGTTGCATCCTACTCACCCGCGTACTTCACCTCCACATCTGCCAGAGCCTGCAAACAGTTCTCGTAAGTTACTTCTTCAAGGTCAAGCATTCCAACAGCATCGTACACCTGTTTGGTCTGCACAATGAGCTCCTCAGTTCTTGTTTTAATTTGATCTGGTGAAAGATCCCATCTTAAAACATTCCTGCCAGCCGCAGTATAGGAAGACACTGCCCGAAGAGGAGACATCACTTCTCTCCCTAAAGTCATTCTGAATAAAATCCTGCAACCACCAACTCTAAAAATAAGCAGAAAGAGAAGAAAAACTAGGCATTTCTGTTGGTCTAAAGTCAATATGCAAATGGCTATTATCTAATTAAATTTAAGTTAAAAAGAAATTTATAATAGAATTGAGCAAACTTCTTTCAGCTGAACATAGAATGCATAAAACTCAATGCTCCAGGAAAGGTGCCAATGCAGGAATCGAACCTCTGAGGGGTCACTCGATCTGCTAGGACCTGCCCACCATTTCTGTGCAATAATGTTGGTGTTATTTGAGGTGGCAGGCAGGATGCCTGCCTTTTGGTGTGTTTGGGTGAGCTGCTGGGCAAGCCAAGGAGAGGCTGGATGGTTAAGCCAAAAACAAGGAATTCCTGGTTAAACTGAAGATGTCATTTGGGAACCAAAAATCTTAACAAATCTCTTGGACCTTGAGCCACATATTTTCCCCGAAAAGTATGCCTTTTTTTTCCAGCAAAATTTTGTTGAGGGCATGTTATTGAGGAATGAACTGAGGCGGATCTGTGGAGCTCATTTAATGGCAACTGTGCTAGAAATCTGAAGACCTGCAGGAGATTTAAAACCAACTCTTGTTAGAACTTTTTAAAAGATTGAGAAATTATCAAAATGCACATGAATCAGGTTTTAATAAATGGGTGGATAGGCTGTCCACTGTACCATTTCTTTCTTTCAATTCTCAGGCATGGTTGGCAGCGAGAGCTGTGTAACATTTACAAATTCAATAAAAAGTAAATATATGAAAAAACAACCCTCGATGCTCTTGTATTTATTTTTCTTGAATAGTTATAGATTTAATGAAATATATATTTTCCGAACTTTAAATTGTTTATGTAATTAAGTCATAGAAAAATAAAGTTAGATGTCAAAGACATAATAATTGTCCTTTATAAATGAAACCAGTAATTTTTCTTATTTAAATGTTTTTCCTGTGCCAATGTCTACATACTATGCATGCAGATTCAAAGATATTTGGCATTCAGCAAGAAAACATTTAAAACATTTTCTTTTTATGTTGAACACCAATTAATACATTTTCGACCAAAATTTTATGTGTATCAAGAATGGAAATTTGAATTTAAGATTTGAAAAATAAACTCTAATATAGCTATGATATTGTTCTAAAAGAAAAAAATTAAGAATTAAGGGGTCCTTCAACCTCTTAAACACTCAAATTAATAACTGTTGCCATACTCAGCCAGTGTGGCTCAGTGATCGAGCATAGACCCAAGAACCAAGAGGTCGCCAGTTTGATTCCTGGTCAGGGCACATGCCCAGGTTGTGGGCCACATCCTCAGTGGGGGGCATGCAGGAGGCAGCCAATCAGTTTTCTTTCTCATCAATGCTTCTATCTCTCTCTCCCTCTCCCTTCCTCTCTCTCTAAAAATCAATAAAGAGAGCGCCTGCCGCCGCCGAGCCGAGCCGAGCCAAGCCCGCCCCGCGGACGACCCCGCTGAAACTGTGCCAAGATGTGGAAAACGAGGACAACGAGGAAACCACGGCCCTGGTGTGTGACAACGGCTCCAGGCTGGTCAAGGCCGGCTTTGCGGGCGACGACGCGCCCCGCGCAGTCTTCCCTTCCATCGTGGGCCGCCCGCGCCACCAGGGCGTCATGGTGGGAATGGGTCAGAAGGATTCCTATGTAGGTGATGAGGCCCAGAGCAAGCGAGGTATCCTGACTCTCAAATACCCCATTGAGCACGGCATCATCACCAACTGGGACGACATGGAGAAGATCTGGCACCATACCTTCTACAATGAGCTGCGTGGGGCTCCTGAGGAACACCCCACTCTGCTCACCGAGGCCCTGCTGAACCCCAAGGCTAACCGTGAGAAGATGACCCAGATCATGTTTGAAACCTTCAATGTCCCTGCCATGTATGTGGCCATCCAGGCAGTGCTGTCCCTATATGCTTCTGGACGTACCACAGGCATCGTTCTGGACTCTGGGGATGGTGTAACTCACAACGTTCCCATCTATGAGGGCTACGCTTTGCCCCAAGCCATCATGCGTCTGGATCTAGCTGGTCGGGATCTCACTGACTACCTCATGAAGATCCTCACTGAGCGTGGCTACCCCTTTGTCACCACCGCTGAACGTGAAATTGTGCGTGACATTAAAGAGAAGCTGTGCTATGTTGCTTTGGATTTTGAGAACGAGATGGCCACAGCTGCTTCTTCATCCTCCCTGGAGAAGAGTTATGAACTGCCTGATGGCCAAGTCATCACTATTGGCAACGAGCGCTTCCCGCTGCCCCGAGACGCTCTTCCAGCCCTCCTTCATCGGTATGGAATCTGCTGGCATCCATGAAACAACTTATAATAGCATCATGAAGCGTGATATTGATATCCGCAAGGATCTGTATGCCAACAATGTCTTATCTGGAGGTACCACCATGTACCCTGGGATTGCTGATCGCATGCAAAAGGAAACCACTGCCCTGGCTCCCAGCACCATGAAGATTAAGATTATTGCTCCCTCTGAGCGCAAGTACTCTGTGTGGATCGGGGGCTCCATCCTGGCCTCCCTGTCCACCTTCCAGCAGATGTGGATCAGCAAGCAGGAGTACGATGAGGCAGGCCCATCCATCGTCCACCGCAAATGCTTCTAAGGTGCCTTCTCTCTTAGTCTACCTTACATTCAGGATGACAGTATTATGCTTCTTGGAGTCTTCCAACCCCCCCCATCTCTCATCAACCATTGTACAGTTTGTTTACACACGTGCAATTTATTTGTGCTTCTAATATTTATTGCTTTATAAATAAATCAGATCAGAACTTGCAACCCCCCCAAAAAATAAATAAACAAAAATCAATAAAGAAAGGAGGGTGTCAATGGGGGAAAAATGAGAAACATCTGTAACAAAAACAAATAAATAAAAAATTTTTAAAAATCAATAAAAATATATATTTTTTTAAATTGATGCCATGTGTGCATCTATCTACAAATATATAGATGTTTGTGTGTATAGATAATTTTAGAGCTTATAAATAAAAATGTTACAATTAATAGTTAACATTTATTGTGTTTAGGCACTGTACTAAGTGCTTTTCATTTATTAACTCAGTTCTCATAAAAACCCCACGAGGCAGATACTGTGGTTATTCTTGTATTACCAAAGAGGAAACTAAAACACAAAGAATTAACTACCCAAGGTCACTTATAGTGGGAGCTAGGATTAAAAGCCAGGAAGTATAAATCCAGATTCTACACTCCTAGCCACTATGCTAAACTTTATTCCTATTATCTTACAAGATCCCCAAACAACCTTGTAATGCAGGTGTGACATTTCCCCCTTTTTACAGACGATGCAATTGAAGCTCAGAGAAGCTAAGTGACTTGTTTAAGGCCATTCGCTCAGCAAATATTTATGAGCCTGTACTGTGTCTGGTCATTGTGACAGGTACTGAGAATAAAAAGGCAAACGAACTGGGACCTTGCTATTATAAGGCGATGGAGAAGACAGATTGATAAACAGGTAGTTATACTTTATTGATATGAGTGCTGATAGGGTCAGTGGAAGGAACTCTGAAGACCACAAGAGGAGCTTTTCTAAGAAGATTTTCTAGAAGGAGAAATGAGCAAGAGCTGGACAATGTGCTATCCAAAGACCAAAGGCTGTAAGGAGAGAGGACTCTGAAAAGGTAAGTAGGAGGTACTGAATGCAGAGACTCAGGAACCATTAAAGAGTTCAACCTTGAAGGCAACAAGAGGCACTGAAGTGTTTTAATCCGGTGAGAGATGAAATAAAATATGCATTTTAGAGAAATCAGTCAAATCATGGTGAGCTGAAAGTTTTGGAAAAGAGAAATCATTCTAGAGGAAAGCTATTCCTGTATTTGGAGCATAAGATTTTGGTATACTGAACCAGAAAACAAAGGGAATTGGAGTAATTTAATCAATATAAGTTGGTACTGAATGGATGTGTGGGGGAGATGAGAGAGTCAAGGAGGATGTCCAGGTTTCTGTCTTAGAAATGGGTCAACAGATGGTGGTACCATCACTAAAATAGGGAACTGAGAAAGGGGAGGAACAGGCTCTTTGCAGGGAGGGCGGGATTCAACTTTGGACTTGCCAAGAGGCTGTGACACATGTAAGTGGAATTCATTAACATTAAATGGTAATTGAAGTTAGAGGGGTGGTTGACTGGCCTAAGGGAATTTGTAGTGAGAACAGAACAACTGAGTTCTAACTAGTTTAATCACTGAGATAGAAGGAAAACCAAGCCAGGCTGGGTCTAGAAAGTTGTGAAAAGCAAGCACTAAAAACGGAAGGGAGTGAATAAGAGTACCAAATATACAAATACAGAAAGATGAAAGAGTCTCTACTGAATTTAGCAACAGAAATGCCATTGATGACTATGGCAGGAGCAGGGCCAGTGGGTGATAGGGGTAGAAGTTCGATGCCTATGACTGGGGGTGTGAAGAAGACAAAGAACTGGAGAGAGTATGCCTAAACAATTCTCTACAGAGTTGGCTGTGAAAACAAGGAAAGCAAACTCAGTGTGTAGTTGGAAAGGACTGAGGGAATAGAAGGGATGAATTTCTAACATAGGAGAGACCTAATTACTGATGCCCTTAATTGTCCATATTAACCAAAGTCCTTGATGTGAAACATACTGGTTGATGGACCCAAGGCTAGCAGACTATTTTCTAATATACAGGGTATCCAAAAAAATGTATACAGGGTATCTGTAGATTTTATTACATTTGGACAATGAAATGTATTTTAATAAATGCTGGCTTTATAATTATTCAAAGTTGTGTATACATTTTTTGGGACACCCTATATTTTTAGATTTCTCCTTCAACCAGTTGAGTTATATATTTACCAAGGGTCAAGTTCCAAAACCTGTTTATGACTATTATGCTTGTTTTCATGCAATTTAAACATGTAGCTGATTAAATGTATGCAAAAGGAATGATTTGTTGTTGAGCTGAAATGTTTTGGAAATACTTTTTAATAGCTACTGACTAAAAAGCCAACCAAAAACAAAACAA